AAAATTAGAATATGCGTAATTGATTCGTCGTTAGATCGTCTGTTTTGCATAAATCATGTAGAAATATTTTTCAGGAGTACAAACACAGAATCACATACACACAAACACACACATATATAATTTGCTAGTGTAGCTTAGATGTGGGACAAGGCCGAAAGTATGGAGCACCTAGTGAGGATCAAACTTACTACTCAGTTGTAATTGATCTAGAGAGACAAGCTTGTTAATTCCTGTATCATGTCAAAATAACCCATATGTGTATTAATAATATTTATAAATATAGATTTTTCTACTGTCTGCTATGACACACACACACACACACACACACACACACACACACACACACACACATACATATATATATATATACACATTTCATTGAATACGACAGACAAGGTGCTTTGATTTAGTTTTTTTAGACAATTTCTCATGTGATCTGATAATGTTTTTTTTCAGATAAATTATATAAAAACTGTACGAATGGTCTTTTAATCTGAACGCTTTCGGCTATACATTTAGCCATTTTCAAGCATGAAATATATAACTGGTAAATAAGAAATAGTTTGTTGCATGTATGTATTTACATAATATTTTCATTTTTCAAAAAACAGTGAAGATATTTTCATAATCGCTCGAATAGTGACCACCGATTAGTGATCCTAAAAGAGAAATAGTACAGTGAAGAGAGTAGAGAATAGCGGACCGTATAGTAATAGAGGATAGACTAGAAATAGCGATCGTATAGACGTCACTCTACCTCCTAAAAGTGCGTTTCTCCCATGGTCTACTTAATTCAATAATGGGGTCACCTGTGTTTGCTCACTGGAGATCTATGTTCAAACTCAAATGTCAGCAGCGATACTTTATTCCTATATAACAAAACATAGGTTGGCTGTGTGGGTGTTGAACAAACACAAATGTGCCTGAGCGAGCGTCTGCAATAGGGATTGGCTAGTCGTTTTAGTTGACGGGTATCCCCGAATACGAGCGACCAGCTATTATTTATTATATATATATATATAAAAAAAAGAACTGCTAATGATTTTTTAATATAGAAATGCAATGAAAATTGGAAGATGCGATTATGAGGGCCATAAAATATGTCTTTTACGAGTATAATGAAGATAAAAAGCTTATGAATATCCATTAGGAATGCATTGATAACTAGAAAGAAGAGAATGTTAATGAGCAGGAATTAATGCAAGTGCTATTAGCTAATGAATAAATAAATATGTACTTTAAAAATAAAAAGGCATACAACTACACACCTACGCCGAGATGCAGACGTAAATGTATATATAAACATGATTAAATTCTTGTCTAGGTGGAAAAGGGTTATAGTAAATGGAAAAAATACAAAGAAAATGAACACAGTACCTTCTTTGGAGTCATATAGGTAGTGGACCTTTGTCCATCTATAGAATTTGACCATGTCGATAACTGCTTGAGTGTGATCCGGTCGAAGGTAAAGTTCAAAATTTGGTTGGTCGTAATCGACTGAAAATGAGAGACCGGGAGACACGAATGGCATATGGAAGCGTCGACTGTAAGCTTCTATTACTTCCACAGATGAACTGTCGATTACGCCGAATAGTACGAACGATCCATTGCTCATATGGCCACAAACTGAAAAGATATCAAGTAAATAGAGAAATATATTATTCAATTGCATCTTCGTTATTATTTATATGGCAACGAAGAAACATAAAAAGATATAAAACAAATGTCGAAAACAACGTTATTTAATAAGTATGTCAAATTTGTACAAAATTATGCAAGCATCAAACAAATGATAGAAATATTGTTATTTAAGGATTATTTATTTAAGATTTTTACAAACTGAAAAAAGGTCAAACAAATGATAAAAGATGTTATTTAATACGTATTCATTTAAGCGTTGTACGGATGATCCTATAAAGGCGCAAAAGTCGTCTATCTCCCTTTAGTTGTGATGAGATCACGTCGGGGTGACCAGTTATTGGGAGTTGCGATGTAAAGCCCGGAGAAAAGGACGTCAGAAATCCAGAGCGGGCTAACAGACAAAAAAAAAAAAATAAACAAAACAAAACAAAACAAAAAAACACATGACCTCACCAGGTACATAGAGAAACTGCTGTACATTTCGAGAAATATTTCAAGTAAGACTCTCTCTCTCTCTTTTCAAAAACTTTTCATACTGCTTGTTGTGGTACACATTTGTTATAATGTTTCTTATTGGGAGAAATTTAAAAATGCGTATATAATTTTGTACATGTCTTAGCAGTATAAAAGTCTCTGTGAGACCAAAGCATGTGTGCATTCTTTTTCTTTCAGCTATTCTGTTCCGTTTGTATATTAAGCTGTTGCTATATCATTGATATAATAATGGTCATAATGGGGGAATTGAAAATAGGAAGTACTCCTTTCTTGCATAGCAACTCTCATTAATACAAATCTTGATCTTAAGATTTGTATGGAACTAAAAAGACGTCAAACAAGTGATAAAACGTTGCTATTCAATAATTATTGATTTGAAACTACACAAACATAAAAAAAATGATGCAAATATTGGTATTTAAGGACTTAAGATTTGTACGAAATAAAAAGACGACAAAAATCTTCATAAAAATGACATTTAATAACGATTCCAAGATTTCTACGAAGCTACGTAACCGTCAAATAAATGATATAAATATTCAGTATCTGTCTATATTTCTGAGATGAGGTATTATGTAAATTATTTACATTATTCGAACTATTCGGCCGAACTGAACCCTTTATTTCACTCTAAAGGGCGAAATAAAGCGTTCAGTTCGACATTCCAACCACCTGAAGAAGGCCGGAGCGTACAACGGCCGAAACGTAGTAATAAATATGGTGACAAAGATGAGGACAATAGTCCGAATAATGTAAATAATGGATATAAATATTGTTATTTAATAATTAGTTGTAAGATTTGTGTGAAAGTAAAAATACTTATGTTATTTAATACGCATTCTTTTAAGAGTTGAACGAATGATCCTATAAAGAAGCAAAAGTCGTGTATCTCCCTTTAGTTGTGATGAGATCACATCGGGGTTATTGGGAGTTGCGATGCAAAACCCGGAGAAAAGTACGTCAAAAGCCCACTGCAGTAGGGCTAACAGAATAAAAAACAACAAAAAACACACACATGGCCTCACCAGGTACATAAAGAAACGATAAATGTTAGGTTAATAACTATTCAAGATCTACCCCAGAACAGATGAGGCGCGGAGAATAGATGAGACCAGGACGACCCCAGGAGAATATGGTACAAAAGAACGCGTCCATGCATGACGTGTGAAGAAACAGTTAAGACGTCATCCATTACTTATATTTCCGCTCTGTTCAGGGTCGAAAGATGACACCACAGATTGACTTCTGACCTAGTTTCTTACATTACTAGTACCCCTACCATGGTTTGACTTCCAACTACCTAGAGGGACATTTCTTCAGGTTGCTATCAACGTAATGGTTAACGAACATTTTGCTACATCGAATATCAAAGAACTCACTCAACTCTTTAAAGAATAATAAATACATTATTTGTTTTAAACCCTTGAAGCAGTTCAAGCTATTTCCAAAGTTTCCCATAAAATAATTCTCCTCCATCTATCCACATTGGCAACGTTCATGACATGTATAATCTATACTATGACCTATTGATTTAAGATTTATACAAACTATAGAAACCTTAAAGAAATGCGAAAATATATCATTATTTACTTAAGAGTCGCAGGGAAAATAAAAGACAACATACAAATGATTATGCATAAATAATAAATGATAAATACATTAAAGATTTATATAAGATTGAAGAAACATCAAAAATGGATTTCTTATTTTGTTAGTACACATTAGATATTCCAATAAGCTTCTTTTAATAACGTATTTATTTTCGAAATCAAAATACAAGCCAAGAAAAATACATTGTCATCTTCGGATGAAATTCTACGCCTGCGTTTCTTAACAACGGAAGTGACGTCAGCAGGCACGTGCTTAAACAATGATAGCGGATGACAATGCGCGTGTATAGAGACGTAGCTTATTTCATCCGAACGGCGGAAACAGAACCTGTTAGCTACCACTCTCTAGGAAATTGAGGAAATGAGCTTTTCCATTACGACACAGGACGCGACGTCGGCAAATAATCAGATGTAGGTAGGTGCTTAGATAGATATTTTCGGCAAGTAATCTAATAATTCACAGCTAAACATATGAATGTACAGCCCTGTGCAGATGTAACGTCTATAAGAATGCGATCTAGGAAGTACTAGAACTAGAAAATAAATAATATTGAGTGAATAGAAATGGGTACCTCATATAAAAAAAACTCTTCCCGAGAGATGAAGTTGATTTGATATAATTTGTTTAAAGGCATATCAGCACCTTATGGACCATTTAATGCCGAAATTTAATATTCATGGAGGGTTTGAAGTAAAAAAACAAAAACATACGATGTATGTTATTTTACTTTCACAGTTGAATACATGGTAGATGATACGCAACTTTTGAGCATATAAATGTTTGTGTGGACGTAATAACTAGAGGTAGTTAGTTGTGTGTTTTATGTTGCAGTTCGAAAAAATAAAAATGGCAGTCGATGTCCAAAACGACCATTTAGTAACTAAAGGGAATTAAATGAAACTTATTTGGAATTAGAACACTCTATCTCTGTGGACTAAATAAAGGGTTCGGGGTGAGAAAAGAAACTATTAGCATAGAAAACTTAACTGTTAACTGTTAGTATAGGATTTATGGCTATATCAAGTCAGCTCAACTGTAAATTGATGACATCTCGATGCCAGTCTAGTACTAGGCTTAAATTAAAAAATTCTAGGTTCCATAGCGAAGAGCTCATCCCAACAATTAACTTGAAATTATAGGGTGTTCTAATAACTTGGACCGATTTTAAATGTGAATTACGTTTAAGCGTCTAATATTTTTTCTTCTTTTTCTTTCAGATTTAACAACTTAAGTCTTTGACAATTTCAACCATG